CCCCGCGGGGGGGCGAGGCCCTCTGCCGCTGCCGTGATGATCTCAGGTTCTCGGCGGCAGCTTCGCATCAGCCTACGACTGAATTCCCCGCCGCCGCATATTTGTGGGGGCTGCCATAAGAGGATCACTCATTCATATGCAAAGACAACTTACACGCACACCAAAATAGCTTGGCGGCTTGCGGGCCTCACGGGTGACAAGAACAGGGTTTGTTTTGACGATTGAAAAGGTCAAACGGGTGCCAAAAAAAAAGGAGCCTGAGGCTTTTTTTTTTTTTTTTTATATGAAAGCACAAAAAAGGTCAACATTAAAATGCCTCGCGGCCTCTCAGTGAGGATTTTAAAGCGCATGAAGTCAAACGTGTCCTTAAAAAAAGAGCAGCTTCGTGTAGGACGCGGACTCGATGGCATCAACAAGCAACCGCAGCACGTCACAGCATTTGGGACGCAAGCTTCGAGCGAGTAGCTGAGGTCACCTGGGCTTGTGTTATGATGTATAAATGTATGTATTATTATGTGTGTTTGTATCTATATAGCTATCTATACAGTATCTGTATGTAATTGCGTCTGTGAGTAAAATGTATGTATACAGTATGTGTGTAAATATATGTACACACACATATGTGTGTGTGTGTGTATATATATATATATATATATATATATATATATATGTGTATATAAATGTATGTTGTTGTATTTCTCATATCAATTGGGGCCTAATTATAAGCCTGGTGAGCAGCTAATCAGTTCTTACTGTCACTGTATGAATACGCCGGCGTATCCCCTTCACTGTGTCGCGTGTTAAACTTCCATCTCTCTCTGCGTGAAATCAGCCCACGTCTGTCTTTTGCCTCTAATGACCCTGTGGATGTAATGGGAAGCGAGCGTAATGAACGGCCCTCGTCCGCTCTTATGCCGAATAACTCGGGACGTTTCTCTCGCAGCTCTTGCAGCCCACGGCTAATGTTCTCGTTGGGTTTAATCAATTGCGAGACCGTGCTAATTCATCCTGATTGAACACCCCCTTCCTCCCCCCGCACACCACCATCACCATCGCCACACACATGCACACGCTTAGGACAAAAACATCATTAGTATGAAAAAAACACACACAAAGTACACTGGAGAGTTCGCAACATGCTGATGATAATTGCCGCTTTGTTGATCGTGTTTGTGAATCGCCATTTGCATTTGACACACTGATGAATTAAAAATGTCACACGCACACATACACACGCACACACACTTATCTTTCTCTTCCTCTGTACTATTTTGTTTTCCTCCAGATGAATTTAACCCTGAAGTTCCCAAGCTGGAGAAAAGCGTGAGTGGCAGCAGCCCGTCGCGCGACCGCCTCTTGCTCACCGTGGCCGCCATGTTGCTCGCCAGCGCCCCCCTGCTCTCCTAGCAAGACGGGCCGAGGGCTGCGGAGACACGGCGCAAAATCAGACAGACAAAAGAAATTTTTCCCACCATCTGTTGTGGTCATGTGACATTTCTAGCCAAACGGAGACCCGCCCAAGCATCATTTGACTCGCTCCAAGGAGTAATGGGACCGTGCCGGATGCAGACCATGCTAGCGCTGGGATGGATTAAGGATGTTTGTGATTTATGGGATGGTGCCAGTTGCAGAAAATTCTGCCAGATTCAGACATTGGTGCCAGATGCAGCAAACGGTGCCGGATTCAGGAAAAGGGATGCAGACAACGCTTGCATTGGGATGGATTAAGTACATTTTCGTTTTTATGGCCCGGTGCCGGATGCTGATTACAGTGCTGAATGCAGATAAAGGTGGTGAATAAAGACAATGCTAGCATTAAGATGGATGAAGTATGCTTACAATTTAAGGAGCATCCACATGCCCGTGTAGAAACCTGTGCCGGATGCAGACGAAGGCGGCACAAGCAGACCGTGCCAACTTTTAGATGGATTTGGAATGCCGATAATTTATGGGAAGATTGCTGGATTCAGATGATTGGATGGATCGATTTACGTATACAGTGTAATGGTGCTGGATGCGAAGAACTGTGCCAGATTCAAACAAAGTTGCCAGGTAGCAACAATTCTAGCATCAAAATGGATTGCGAATGTTTTTGATTCATGGGAAGGCTCTGAATATGGACAAATGGTGCAAGATGCAGACAATGTTAGGATTGGGATGGCTTAAGAATGTTCATGAATTATGGGATTGGTGCTGGATGCAAACAACGGTGCCAGATGTTAACAATGCTAGCATTCGGACAGGTAATGAATGTTTATGGTTTAAGATATGATGCTGGATGCAGCAAAACGGTGCCGGATGCAGACGATGGTATCATCGTGATGTTTTACGACAACTTTGAAGCAAGGTGACTGCCAAAGTCCAGCAAGGTGACGTTTTTTGAAATGGAAAAAAAAAAAAGACATACCAGTCTTTTTCCTCAATGTCAAGGGTAGAGGATAGCGAGCGCTGTCGTAGTCCTTCCTGCCTGTTTCCTGCCTTCGCAACTCAAGAACACTTTGGATGATGGCACTTGCGTAGCCCTGATGCAGTAGATGTGCTTGAAAACGTGTTTGGTTGCTTTTACCAATTTCTCGTGCCTGGAACAGGCTCCCCAAAACCTTCAGACCATCAAGTCCAAACCCTCACTCAATCCTACTCCTGCCTACTAAGGAGTGTACGAAGAACGTTGAAAAAAAGTGAACCAAAAAAAAGAAAAGGACAAGGAAAAATGTATGATAGCCTTGTATCCAAAATATCAAGAATTGTCTAAAAATGTTCAAAGTCAATCATGACAAAATGAAATATTGACTTTACAAAAACTATTTACAGGAAAAAAGAAAGTAATCTGAAGAATCAAGCCATGATATCAGGAGAAAAACAAGTCTGTGTCAAAACTCATCGGAACGCAAGAAAATCTAATTGATGAATTGTATGTCAGATCACAAAAAAAAGAAAAAAAACATTTTCCTAGTGTGCCAACTTCATGTCTCAGAACTCTCTGGGACTTTTCCCAAGTAGTTTTACAACTTGACTCCTTTTCAGTGCGGCCCCGGAACCATCCACTTTGTGGCTGGTTGCCGTGGAAACCAGACCATTTTTTTTCCAGCCTGAGGAGATTTGACTTTATATAATTTACTTTGTCAAAGTAAAGCTTCGGCTGTTGCGTGAATGTGCAAAAATGGGGGCAGAGTGGGGGGGGTAGCTCAATGTTTTGTTTCTTTGTTTTTTCACTTACATATTAATTTATTGAACGTGTATTACTATTTGTCATTTTATTTATGATTCTTGTGAGAGTTCACATGCTCTGTAGGACCTTTACGCAATGACCTACTGTGCCACTTTCTCTCATTTTGGGGGATTCAGACTGCACATGCATCATCAGTGTGTGTGTGTGTGTGTGTGTGTGTGTGTGTGTGTGTGTGTGTGTGTGTGTGTGTGTGTGTGCGTGTGTGTGTGTGTGTGCGCG